TGTTTCCTGACAGTTCTGACGGCCAGTCTTAATTTGTTTAGCTAGAAGCATTTGCCGAAAAAACCGCTACCGGCAGCGACAAAAACTGTGGCGGACTATGCAAAAAACGCACCTGCTTACGGGCAGCCCGTGCGTTGGCCAATTATTTAAAGCATGACGGTGGGAACACTGATGCTTCTGTCCTTTGACGCCGAATTCAACAAGAAATTAGATTGGACAATTTTTGCAGATTGTGGAGGACATTTGGGAGGCCTGAACGGCGCATTATCAGCGCCGCAATATCCGCTGAAAGATTCACGGACACTTAACTGCGACTGGCATATTGCAGTAGCTGCAGGTTAGTTCCTGGATCACGTTGCTACTTTTAGTGTACAGATTGGTGATTTTGTTGGCAGAGTGTCGGAATGAAATTCAAAAATCACTGGTTAATTTAGGTAACTTGGTTCGATTCACTATAACCACGCTGGATGATTTGAATTCGGCCGACTCAAATGGCTTCTGCTCATCGTTTGCACCAAATTACATCGATGTCAGTTTTTTGCTGCTTTTTTTGAGATTACATGGGCAGTCGTATTTGGTTTGTTGATGCCAAAATTGTAAAACTCGCTTGCTGAAAACGTCCTAGCGTTGTTTGCGCAGTACACTTTATTTGTCGTCAATTAAAATATTGGCGCAGAAGAATTCGTAAAATTTTTGTTTTCAGTGGCCGGGCACTGGTAGCACTACTTCGTTAGTGAAAAAAGTATAAAAATTTTTCGAAATCTGTGTGTTGCAAGTCGATGTCATTTGAAATGTGATTAAATTTCACATCTTTTCACTTTGGCAGTCTGATTTAACTGCGTAACCCACTCGCGATTATCAGCGCCTAATAAAGCTTGAGCTTAATCGGCTTGTCATGAAGATTGAGCCCACCCTTTCATCGCATTATGCAAGCTGAAGCCTGAGCAGCCTAGGGAAAGGATAGATCGATTCAAACTTCGTGAAAGTTTAGATAGTATGAATGCACAAAATAACTGCTTCAGGTAGCTGAAGGTCCATCCGTATCTGCTCGTATTCTAAGGCGTTACTGCAAAAAGGAGGTTTCGTTATCATCTGTGGATTCTGAAACGAATCAGTTGACAGTGCGTTACAGGCAGCATGGAGGCACTCATTTCGGATCGCTTTTTGGCTTTCTGGCACACTACACCACAGGCTTGCTTTATTGCTGTACATGATGTAGTTTAAGGTCATAAGATCAAATCAGTCAAGACCCCACCTTTGTATTAATTTTCCATGAGAAGCGAAGGCTCCCGGATGTGCGAGTAGCAAATGTCAGAAGCAGTTGCTTTACACTGACAAGTCTGTCGATGGCTCCCTCTTTCGGGGATTGTTTAGAAGCAAGCTAATAGCGAGCTTAACTCCCTGACGTGTGCCAGTATTAGTTTACCATGGAAGCGAGTGGATGAATCGTAGAGGGACTGGTTGCTGCGACCAAGATGAATCCTCAAAAATCAGAACAGCTGGTGAAAATGAAATATATTTTTAACTGAAAATATATCAAAATGTCGCAGCTTGTTTATATTGAAATATGTAAAAATATTTAGTGCGGTACTTCTGTTTAATTTCACTTGTTCTGAAAATTGTGTAAAAGTTCTTTGCAAAATCAGCATTGCATTCGCTTAAGCTTTAGCTTCTATGCACCAGAAGTAGATAACGCACTGATTTTTGAAAATTTTTTGCATAAATTACTAGCTAAACAGAAGGCGTTTCAGTGTGCAATGACGTTTATTTATTTGGCCATCACGGCGTTCTTCAAAGTCCCGGTTATCCAGAACGAACTCTTGAGAATCGCTTCTGCAAATGGAGAATACAAACAACAAAGGGAAATCGCCTGCGGCTTATGTTTCACCTGTTCCGAGTCACAGAGCCCTATACTCGCTATACACCTCTGTGTCATATCAATTATCTCGAGGTGACTGTTTTCTCCATACTATATTATCAGCCTTCGCAGTACCGTAGGAATTTGCTTTTGACTAAAATTTGTCAGCTGATATGATAAAATAGCGCCTTGCGCCCGTCCACTGTCTGCTAGGATCGGTTAGTCCTTGGTGACAACAAACATTTATAGCAGCCGCTTCGTCCTTCTTTTTGAATAAGCATCTGGAGTGAAAGTTCCGTCATTGAGCATGCACTGCTGAGCATCAGTCAGCGTGCACTCCTCGTCTTAGCTTGTTCTTTCAGTTTCGGTTAACAAAACACATAATTATTTCTTCGTTCTCACTGGGTGCCAACTATACTCGTGCGTTATCGTTCTCTTATAGAGTCCGGTCATTAAAACCCCTCCCTTGCCTTTCCAGATTTTCTGATACTTCCTTTAAAAAAAATTCTTGTCGGTTTACTGGCTAACTCCAACTAATTGGACAGTGCCGTTTCTTATGCAGTGAGTAAGCCTTCCTGCCAATTTTATTCCTTTATCAGAAAGTACTCTTTCTGGTACTCTTCCTTTGTGTTTGTCAAAATATTCCCCTCGAACACAAGTAAATAAGTAACTGTTGGCACATCTGTAAGCCAGTTTACAAAATCTATTGCAAGAAATCCGTTGAATTTATGTCTTTGTTTCTGAGCAGTTAAATTTTGCTAATTCGGCAAAATTTATCCACTTTTAAATATTCATTCGTGACACATTTTAATGCAAGTGTCTACAATATTAAATGTCCAAAATTGTGCCTTCTTAGAAGCATGTAAAAGGTCCGCATGAAGTTGGCAAGGGATGCAGTGGAAGAGTTGCCTGCAAGGAAAAGTTTTTCAGAACAAGGAATTGCAAACTTTCAATACCATCTTTGAAATTTTGGTAGCTGCATTAGAATTTCGGAGGAAGAGCACAGATGCCTGGATTTCATCAGAATAGTTACTAGCCGGTTCCTGGTCTAATAGTTTTGCTAAAATCAAACTTATTTGATGCATATTTTTGCAGTTTGGTGAAAAACAAATTCGGTCAGCTTCGATGACGATCAATGGTCAGCACAATGAAACAGCATCAGTACGAAGGTTTTGTGATCGTGCTGGCAAGCCTACGTGGATTTTGTCTGAAAACGAATTCGTTGACATAACATTTTTCTCCAAAATTGAGCCGGAGAATCATTTTTGGCTCTCCTGGGCGAATGAGGGTTAGTTTGTATGTTGCGGTTATCACTACAAGTGAAATGAGCGCTAATAACTAGTAAAAACACGGTGCATTGACGAGTTGTCGCATGTCGTTTATGTTTTAAACAGAGGCAGTAACTGCTTATAAGAGGACTGGCCGTTTACCGATTCTTTCTGTGAGTGGCTAAATGGTGCTATGTCTGATGTACCGGATACACCTAAAATTATTTTGTCTACCTTAGCTTGTCTTTAAAAGGAGGGATTAAGGCCGTCTTGCCAATAAGTGACTGCTGATTCTAGCACTAAGTGCATTCGTTTGCTTCAAAGTGCCTTTTCTCAGTTTTTTTTTTTTTTTTTTTTCAAATTGCTTAACAGTCGCATTGAGTGCCCCTTGATTCTCCGCTCTCCGTCGCAGTTAGGCGCCTCGTAAATGAGTTGCAGCATTTACTTGTTGGAACATACCAGGCAGTGACGATTTCGGCATCGCCTAGATACACCTTTGCTTAATTGGCCTTATTTGATAGGATGTGGCGGTGACATCTCTTCTCCGATGAGTGTAAGCGTGGATGCTGGTAAATTAATCACCGATGCGGCAACTTACGAATGCACGTGGAAAATTACCGCGCCTATTGGAATGCGAGTGCTTTTTTTGATTGAAAAGCTCTCGATTTTTGAAATTAGTGAAGGATGCACCGGAAGCGATAGCGAGCAGTTTGCTGGTCTAGCTGTAAGTGCTCTTCCAACATTCACTGTCAGTTGATTCGTTTTTTGGTGACGCTCATTTTTGCCTCTCGGAATTTTTGTTTATGGAATAAGCGCAGCGTGCGGAATCCATAAAGACGATTCTCTGTTGCAGTTTTATTCGGGAACGAGCAACAGGACTGGCTCCGCGCAGAAAGTGCTTTGCGCGAGTAGCACCGCTTCAAACTACACATCGCATACAAATGAATTGTTCGTAAAGTTCAAAATTCCAAGTAGGCTGGCCAAACCGGACGCGAACAAACTCATCATGAAAGGAGAAGTTTCGTTTGTACAACCGAAAACTGGAGACGAGTGTGGTGCCATAATTGAAAGTATTAATTTCTTTTTTAATCAGTAGGTCTGCTAACTTTTTTTACTTTTCCCGTTCACTTGTCTGCTGGGAATCACTGCTTGCTGAAAGGGAGAGAAGCGGCAGCCTTGTTGTGCGCCTTAGGAACTTTTAATGCACAATGCAACAAATTTAAACTTAGTTGCTAAATTACACCCTGTGACCTGTAGAGTTTTGGAAATTTGCCCGAATACACACACACAACAACAACAACAACAACAACAACAACAATTACATTTTGCGCTGTATATTTAAACAGCGTAAAAGAATATGCATGCGCCCTGGCTGTAAATACTAAATTGGAAAACAATATAAAACAAGCAGCAGCACGAGCAGGAGTTGACGCGACTAGGAATTTTTTTTTTTTGAACGCATTATATATGTGGGAATGCGATCGTATACATAAAATAGGTGTATTTTCCGGAACTCACTTTTAACTTATTCAACTCATTATGGCTATCCACTTGTAAGCTGATGGCTCGTTATATTCTGGAATCTTGCAAATCTTTATTTGACCGTTAAACTTCACTCAGCACGTAACAGGTTTTTAAGGCTCACTTTGTATTATTCATTTTGGATTATGGTGTGAATTCAAATTTCGCATAGCGATAATTGGAGTTTGCTTTATTTTGAAGTTATAAATCAGGCATGAATTCGGACGTAAATTTATCGCTCAAGATATATCAGATGCTGACAATTTTTTTTTCAGACTGTGCTTTCTCGCTTAATTTGGCAAATTAAAAAATTTCTTGAATTTTCAGACGGTAGTTTTTTCGCAGGTTATAACAGTAGAATGAATTTGGACCTGCTTTCACTTATTAGGACACAAAGAGAGCGGAAACTTCAATTCGAGGAGAATTGAATTTACGTAGCTCTAGGTAACCACAAACATGTAGCACAATGCAAATCGAAATCAAAAGTGCAATGTTGAACATTGCAAATGAGGCATGTTTAGCGCGGAGTATCATACACGGCTGAATGGGGCCACGGCGATGTTTGATTTAGTAAATGGAAAAACTGTCTTTTCGAATGGGAGTACATTTCAAGCTGACTTAGCACTAATAAGAACGAGCTTGTGGGTCAGTTTGTATGAGACTTTCCCAAAAATTTAACACATAAATTGGTCGTTTGTCCTAAACACTGCTGTAAAAACCACCTGATTTGAATTAAAACGTGCCGCACTGGCTCCGATTTGCTAAAACCTCCGTGAATGAGACAAGTTCCTTTTTCCGACTTAAGATCAGCCTGTGTCTTTGCGTTTTTTAGTATGTGGTACTTGCATCTTTTCTTTTACTTTCAGTATCCCAAAACGAGACACTTGAGGTGCATTCGCCGAATTATCCGGACCTGTATCCAAAATCAGTTGAATGCATTTGGCTGATAAAAGCACCTAACGGTCATCTAGTACAGTTCAATTTAACTCACTATACCACTCTAAATTATCATCCACAACGACCAGATGTGAAAGTTTGGCGCTCAAATTTCGCCTCAAATGTCACGTAAGCTTTTTATTTCTTGATGGAATCAGAATGCATGGGAAAACTTGCATCTTTTAATTCGTTGACGGTAAATTACGATGAAGAACATGCGGTATATACATCAGCCACTTGTGTAACTAAAGAAGTTTTTTTTCCAATTTGAGATCTATTAATAGTTGACGGGCATTTTTTTTTT